GTAGGGGAGGGAGTGGGGCAGCCAGACCCAGTCCCTCACTTCAAGGGGATGCCTGCCCCATCCCCAGGACTTGGAGTCAGAGCAGAAGGGCCTGTGTGGGGGGGATCCATTGGTAGAGGTGGGGTCTGGGGCAATTCCTGCTCTCTGCTCTGTTGCAGACATAGATGAGTGCGCCAACGAGACGCTGTGTGGGAGCCATGGCTTCTGCGAGAACTCAGACGGCTCCTTCCGCTGCCTCTGTGACCGTGGCTATGAGAGCTCGCCCTCTGGCCACTACTGCATTGGTGAGTCTCCCGCGATCGCTCTGCCAGGCAGTGTGGGAGAGCCATCAGCAGATGCCAGGCTGGGGTCCGCTGCGATGGCGTGGATGGGGGCTGCACCATGCATGGTGAATCCCAGACGTGGACAGGGCAGCTCATGGAGGCAAAAACCCCTCCCCTTAGCAGATCCTTGGGGCTGCAAAGGAGCAGGGCTCTCTGAAAAAGCGAGTGGCTCCTAGTGAACATGGAGCCCTTCTCTGTGCAGGTGGAAGGGAGGTGCTTGGGGGCTGGAGGCACTGAAGGTGCTTGAAAGGTACTTTAATGGATGGCTGGAGAGAACAAGCAGGGTGTAATATAGGAAAAACATTGTCACCATGAGGACAGGCAGGCAGTGGAACAGATGCCTGAGATGGCTGTGAAGTTGCCGTCCTTGGACGTTTTAAAGACCCAACAAGACAAAGCCCTGAGCAGCCTGGTGGGATCCCATAACTGACCCTGCTTTCAGCAGGGGGATGGACTAGAGACCGCCAGTGGTCCTTTCAGACCTGGACAATCCTGTGATCCAGCGTCTCGCTGCAAGCTGGAGTTCAAGCTCCTTGAATCCACTGAGAGCAGGGCAAGAAGCTCTTGCCAGACTTATGTTGAGCCATGGTGTGAACAGTGCTCTCAGCCCACCCCTAGCAGCTTCCATCTGCCTGCTGAAGGGTAACCCCATGCTGCAGACCCTGCACAGGCTGCCCATGCAGAGGCAAGGCTGCAGCTGCCACCACTGCCCCTTGCTTTGCAGATGTGAATGAGTGTGAGATGATGGTCGCTGTGTGCGGGACTGCGCTCTGCGAGAATGTGGAGGGATCCTTCCTCTGCCTCTGTCCCAGCGACCATGAGGAGTATGACACAGAGACCGGGCAGTGCCAGCCCCGAGCCACCATGGGTGAGTAGGCAGCTAGGAGAGAAGCATGGGTGGCAGCCAGAGCAGGAGCGTGGTAGCCCTGCCTGGGGCGAGATAAAGCCGAGGGGCTGCTAGGGCTGTACAAGCCCACGCAAGCATGGACAAGTTTTTGTCTGGGGAGAGCTGAGGAGCCTGAAAGTGGGGACCTGGGAAAGCCACACTGCCGGTGATGGGTGTGCTCTGGGACCTCCTAGGTGTGGGATGCTGTGTTGGGGTGCCAAGGACCCCATCCTGTCCGTGCTCTGCTGTCTTCTAGAGGGCTCCGAGACACAGGCAGCCCACCTCTCTGACAGCGCAGAGCGCAAGCAGTGCTACTACCACATCAGCGATGTTCGCCTGTGTGACAGCGTCCTGGCCAAGAACATCACCAAGGAGGAGTGCTGCTGTACTGTGGGGGCAGCCTGGGGTGACAACTGTGAGACTTACCCCTGCCCCATCCTGGGCACAGGTAGGACTGTGGCCCCACCACACCAGGCAAGGCCAGTGCTCTGCCCACCAGCTCCACCTTGGTTGCACTGACAAGCTGTTTCTTTTCTTCCCATCTCCCCTTGGCACCTGCCCCCTTGGCAGTGGAGTACCAAGAGATCTGCCCTCTTGGGAAGGGCTATGTTCCCCAGGAAGATCTGCTCACAGGAAAAGTCTCTTTCACAGGTACTAGCACCATTTTCTCTCATTTCTTCCAGAGGAAAGAGGGAGGGCACTGTGCAAAACCCTGCACAGAGATGCATCCACAGAAATATCTCCCTGGGGCTGTGGTGGGGAATGTTAACATCCTGCTGCTGCTTTCCTCCATCCAGAGAAATCCCAGGTTGCCAGTATCACCGAGCTGGGCGTGCCCCTTCCTCCAGTCCTGCTTCACTGCTGGCAGTGACTCTTTTCTTGGTGCAAACCTCCCATGCCCATTTTGAACCAGGGATGGGGTCCAGTTAGACACAATCCTTCTGTTACTGAAGGGTCCCAGTGGCCAACTGGCTCAGTCTTTGGCACTTCACCTCCAGGTGTTGTGTTCTTGACCTTCAAGAAACACATCCAAATTTCCTGTTTGTGAAAATATCCTGTTCCCTGTCATCCCTCCTCCTGCTCTGCCTGTGGGTTCTTCCCCCTCTGCTCCCAGGCACGTGGCTGGTGGGAGAAGTGAGGGTCTCATTTGAGGACTTGCCAGTGATCCAGGCCAAGGTGCCATACTGGCTGTCTGTGGGCACAGCACCCAGCCCCCCTGCTTCTGCAGCTCTGCTCCCTGAGGTGCTCTCTCCCTCTCTCCATCCTTCTCAGACATGGACGAGTGTGAGACGTTTGGCTCTGAGTTCTGCCGTAATGGACAGTGTTTGAACACAGTGCCGGGCTACAAGTGCTTCTGCCGTACAGGCTACTTCTATGACTCCAGCCGGCTCGAGTGTGTTGGTAAGATGGCCCCAAAGAGCAGCAGGGGCCCCCACTGCGTGCAGAGGGACAGCTGTGCTGCTGTACCCAGAGTTGCCCCTGCTGCCCACGCTACAGGGCCAGCTCTGGGTGACAGGCTTCCAGGGACCCTCCCAGGGAACAAAAGAGGAAGTGGCAGGGAAAGGGTTGCGTTGCCCTTGTCTGCCAGCCTGAAACATTGCTCTGTCCTTGTTCCTGGGCAGACCAGGACGAGTGTCAGAACGAAGTGTACTGCATCAACGGCGAGTGTCTGAACACGGATGGCTCCTACCACTGCTTCTGCAGCCTCCCTCTCGTGCTGGATGCCACTGGCAACCGGTGTGTGAACCTCTCCATCAGGGCAGGTGAGCCCAAGCCCCTGCCACAGCACTCCTTTGCCCTGCAGCTGGGTCTCCCAGGAGGGAGCAGCAGATGGGGGCTCGGTGCCAGGCTGAGGGGTGCCAGTACCAGCACAGTGTGCAGCCAGGGCAGGGGGGCAGGAGCCAGGGCACACAGTCATCCCGCTCAGAACAAGGCAGATGGGACACTTCTGGGTGATTTTTATGGCATCTTTTGGTGGTGATACTCACAGATGCCTTGGAGGAGTATGAAATCCACCTGGATGTCTGCTGGCAGACTGTTGCCGACTACATCTGCCAAGACCTTCTGCACGGCGAGCAGACCACGTACACCGAGTGCTGCTGCCGGCTCGGTGAAGCCTGGGGCCAGAACTGCGCACTCTGTCCACACAGGTCCTCCGGTGAGCGGGGCGGCGTGGGCAGGCATCCCCTGGCAGAGGTGGGGATGGGCTGGACTGCTGCTGGTTGTGCGGGGCAGGGTTGGCTGCATATGGCTGCAGTGAGGGCTCCTCTTGTTGTCTGCGTTGCCAAACCCAGCCCAAGGAGTGGGTGAATCCCCCACTTCTCCAGGGCTGAGCTGCACCAGTGGGTAGGATGTACCTGAAACTGGTTTGCAATGAGTCCAAGGTGTCTGAGGTGAAAGTTGCTCTGTGCATCCTGCCGCTCCTGCTTAATGTGGGAGAGATGCACACTGGGGATTGGGGATTCTCACTGCTAAGGGACTTGCTGGCCCCAGACAGGAGCTGGTCTTCTCAAAGATGGAGTGCCATCAGCAGACTATGGAGCTGCAGCTTTGGAGGCCATTGAACGCTGGCCTGGCTCAGCTGGCTCAGGGTGGACGCAACCTCTCCAGCTGTAGCAGAAGCGCCTCTCTTGAGCCAGGCTGCACTGACCTCTCCTTTTCTCTCACCGCTTCCAGCTGATTTTGCTTTCCTGTGTAACGGGGCCAGTGAAGACAGTGAGAGAGGCTCTGAGCTCCGAGAAAGACATAGGTATGAGTATGGACTGGGTTTGGAAGACCCCCACTATGGCCTTCCCAGCCCAGATATGGGCCCCTACTACAACTACCTGGAGTCTGAGTACGGAAACCCCGATGCTGGTTTCCTTCGGAGGGAACCCAACAGCGAGTTTCGCGGCAGCCCTCTCCACCATGGCCCAGGGCGGTCCCCACCCCGCTACCTGCCCAGCCAAACTGGTGAGTACTGGGAGACACAGAGAGGT